GGACAGCTCCGAAACGGAAGAGAACAGAAAGAGAGAGTGTGCCGGTTTGGTGAGAACTTTTTCTTTATTCTAAGATCTGAAAGGACACCCTAAGGAAAAGAAAGAATCTGTAAAAGTTTTGAAAGAAGTGATTAAGTGGCAATTTTAAACAGGAATGTCAAAGTAATGTTCTTTTTCCTCATTGCTGGATTTTCTATACATGATCTTATATTTTGAAACTGGACTGGTTTTTTCTTTTTCATCTATTTTTTTTTCTCCTTTTTGATTTTGTAACTATTTTAGGCTAGAGACTCCCATTTAGTTATTTCTTTTTTAAAAATATCTTTTTCTTTCTTTTTTATTAATTCTTATTGCATTTTGCTTGGAAAAGGAGGGGGAAAGTGAAAGCAAAGAAACTTTGTAACACTGCCAACTATAGGCTTGGAAATATTCTATTTCTTTTGTGACCAGACAAAGCTGAGAAAGAAAAAAATGAGACTTTTTTTCAAGGACATTGCTATTCGATAAGTTAGAGGGAAGAGCATGGGAGAGTATTATTGCAGGTGCTCTTCTGGGTTTCTATCAACAGCTGGAGTCTGGTGCTGAAGGTTATAGAAAAAGAAAAGGTGGTAAGTTTCTGGAGAAGAGTGTTATAACAAGAGCCTTGGATAACTAAACAAAGTGCAGTGTGTTTTCTTGATTTTTTCTAAGCTGTGCTACCCCTCCTCAACAGTTTACTTTTTGAAATAGCTATTTGGACTTTTAGTTCTTTGGAACTTGTCTTTGCTTTTTTTTTTCTTTATGCTTGTCCTTCGAAGTTAATTTTTTACATTTGTTTTTTATTTCAAAAGAAAAGTTTTAGTATTAATGATTCCCTTCCTTTTCTTTTTAAGAGAGCAGCCTTTTTTTTCTTTTTCTCTTTTTGATTTTCTGGTATTCTTGTTTTTCCATCTACCTCCAATACTGGTTTTTTCTTTCTTTTTATCTTCCTGGCTTTTTTTTTCTTTTTCTCTTATGCAGTCTTTTATATTTGAGACCTTTTAATTGGATTAAGGTGTTGAAGAACCTGAAGAATTTTTCCTTTTTTAAAAAGCTTTTTATTCTTCACTTTTCCGTCTTTTTTAGGATTTTACAACTTTTTCTCCTTTGTGTATGTTTATGGTTTTTTCCTTCATTTTTGAATTTTCATTGTTATCTAATTAATCGATTGGATTAAGGTATACAAGAACCTAAAGAAATTCTTTTTTATTTATTTTTATTTTTATTATTATTATTATTATTATTATTATTATTATTATTATTATTATTATTATTATTATTATTATTATTATTTGGTTTCTTTTTTCCTACTATTTTTATTTGGAATCGCAATTGGTTACTTTACAATTGGATTAAGGTCTAGAAGAACCTGAAGATTTTGAATTGTTTGAAATGAGTAGGAAATTAACAGCTACCATCTCTTCAACTTCTACTTCCTCCTCTCCACCATCTGGAGGACAATGTTTAATACAGACAATGTTACGGCAAGAGAAAGAACAAGAACAAGAAAAAGTGACCCTGCAGATGATTATGCAAGGAATTCAAAACATTCAAACAAGAACAGAGAACACTGAACAAAGAACAGGGAAAACTGATGAAAAAGTCGAGAACATCCAACAAATGATGATGAAGTATGATGAGAGACTACTAAAAATTGAAGAAGATAAACAAAGAGATAAGAAGATTGGAGACATTGATACCAGATTAACTGTGCTTAAACAAGATAAAAGTGGTATGCTGAGATGGGAGATGGACAGATCAGAATTTTATCTCAGATTCCAAAACAGAGGAAGAAAAGGGACAAATTCTAGCTAAGATAATGATAGAAATATTGACTGAAGCTTTGGAAATAACGGAAGAGAAGATGATGGATGGAATAGGTGAGGTTTATCGAGTCTTCACAAGATACGCAATGAGAAATAGCCTACCAAGAGAAGTTCACATCAGATTTACAAAGAAAGCCATTAAAACGCAAATATTGCAAGTGGCAAGAGAGAAAACATTGAAATATAAAGATAAGGAGATTGTGGTTTTGAAACAAGTACCTAGAAGAGTGAGAGAGATGAGAAGAGAATACTGATTCTTGACCAAATTGCTGCTTTAAAAAGAGGTGAATTATAGATGACTGATTCCAGAAGGTTTAATGTTCACATGGCAAGAACAGAGATACAGAATTGATTCAATTGAGAAAGCTGAATCGTTTTATACAGAATTTTTCAGAGGGAAAGAGGAAGAGGCAGAAAAAGAAATTTCACTAATTGAATTCCAAGAGGACTGCCAAATGATGACTGAAAAAGAGGAAGGTGCAGTAGGTGGAAAGGAGGAACCCAAAGGTCAACTTGAACCAAGATCCACGAGAGCTGCCAATCCTAATGATAAAATATAACCATGGAAGAGAAAAAACTGATTACAATTAATATAAATGGACTTAATTCAGCCATTAAAAGTAGGAAAACTTTCCATAAATTAGAGAAATTAAAATTTGATATAATCTGCTTACAAGAAGTACATATTAAAAAGCAATATGAACAATTGTTGATACAGCCAAAACTAAGGAAAATATTTACCTCCTTGACACAATGCAAGAAAAGAGGAGTGGTTTTATATATTAAAGAGACTATTCCAGCAAAATTGATTTATACTGATGACGACAGAAGAATACTAATGGTGGAAATAATGGATAATAATACAAAAAGACTCCTGATTGCAATCTATGCCCTGAATGATAAACAAGAAGAATTTTATAAAAAATTACATATCAAAATAATTGAACTGGACTATGCTAATATAGTTATGATGAAAGATTTTAATGGAATTGTAGACAACAAACTGGACTATACAGCACAGAAAACAATAAAGCAAAACAGAAAGATTCTCCCTAAGTCTTTTTTTTAATATGGTAGATGAAATAAACTTAAAAGATACATGGAGAGAAAGAAATGCTAAATTAAACAATACACCTTCTACTCAAATAGACACTTATCATGGTTCAGAATAGATATGATATGGATGTCAAAAAATTCTAGCATGAGTTTAGTTGTTGCATGCATAGAAGCCCTTCACCCAATCATTACATAGCTAAAGGTTAACTAAAGAGCTTGAGGAAATATTTCAGGTTATAGTTGCCAGACTTTAATTCATAAATCCATTCTGATTAGTATAAAACTAATATTGGCTATAGTTAGACATACTCATTTTAGACATTGACATTAGCCCTGTTACAGCTGCCACACACCAAGTAGAAATGTGGAAGTATTTAAATAGTAACTATGAAGCATATTATTGTTTGTCTACTTCACATCCCCCACCCTGCCATTCTATGTTTTCCACCCAATTAAAATATTCCTTTTAAGTTTCTTGGAGGAACAAAAACTTAAGATTTGCCAACCCTGATTTTAAATATGAAGGAAAACTATGAACATGCTTTCCTTCTGAAGAGCTTCCTATCATAAACATAAATCACCGGACCATTTTTAATTACAGACTAGAAGGGAATTTGCTATTTTAGTTTGATGCTCAGCTGCTTTGCTTTGGAATAAGTGCCATTTTGGGGGAACAATGGTTTTATACAATCACACTTTTTAGAAGTAAAAATAACAAAATTGGCATAACCATAAATCTTCCTGATCTCTAGCTGTCAGCTATAAGTTGTTTTTAACATAGTTTATATACACTATTGCAATATCTTACCTGCAGTGAGTGCTAAATCATCCAGGTAGTTGTCCTGGCCTGTTTCTCACCCCCATTCTGTTTTTTGCTTTTATCATCTTTGGGTTCAATATTTTCTTAGCTTCAGGTCCATCTGATTTTCTATACTAAAAATAAATTTATAGAAGTTTACAGACTGTACTACCCATTCCAAAGTTACTTTTATTTTTAAAGAGAGCTTATCTGGCCCTAAATGAGTCCTGCAAACTTTCTTAAAGATGATGAGCAGTGACAATCATAGGAGTTCTGTAGAATATTAATTATCATAATGGCCTGGTTCACAGTATCTAAACAGACTTGGGAGTTGACAAGGAAACCTCCAGGGAACACCATGTCTGTAGCCAAGCTTGGGAAATTGAAAAAAAAAATCCCAGAAGAAGGCCAGTGCAAGCCATCCTTTATTGTTGCCAAGAAACTACGTATCTATTTCTGTGAAGATACCAGGAATCAAGCTCAGCTCAAAATTAATTTATATGGATCCATTTCCAGGAGAAATCAACTGCTGTATGCAAGGAGTTTCCCTGTACGAAAGAAAAAAAAAAGCAGGGGGGGGGGAAATATCTGCTTACAGGGCTTTTTTTTAAAAGGAGGCAATACATCACTTCTCATAATTCAAACTCTTCTGAGAATGCCGTAGTGCTCCTTTTACTCTTCTGCTAAGAACCACTCCAGTCAAATATTTTAAATAATTATTTTTTCTCATTATAACGAATGAAAATATTACATGTAACATTTGTAATACTCAATCCATCTTGTCTTTTCTGATGTATGGGATCCACAGCTTCTGCTCTATATACAAAACCAATGTCCATTCTGACTGGTCCTTATGCACATACGAAGGAGCTGGAAAGAAGTCGCCGAGAGAAGACCACTTTGAGAAAAGATGACCTTGATGATGACTTTGATTTTTCAAACTTGGCAAGATGTGTGGACTTCCAAGTCCCAGAATTTCTGGGTTAGCAAGGGGGTTGAAGGCCACACATCTTAAACTTATAACCTTGAAAAACATTCACCTAGAAGTTGTAGAAGCCTCCTGATAAGAGTAGTTGGTCTCGCTGGATATGAATGAAAGTTACTCATTTGTACAGAGGAAACTTTTTTCTTCTCGCAAGCAGTTTTCCGTTTCAGTTATCTAGAACTTAAAAGCAACCCTAAAAGCACCTTTCCTGCTCCAGTAGGTTCTTCAGGGGGAAAAAAAAAAAAGAACTACAGCTCCCAAAGTCCTTTGTTGTTCAGGTGAAGCACGGGGTGTGTTCTAGCCGCCGGGACTGGGATTTCCTTTGGAGAAAAAAAAGTTTTCTTGGTGTGAAGAGGAGCCCTTTAACCTGATTAAATTTGGAGGAATAACTTACAAGGTGAGTGGAAAAGATAACCTGATGTAACTGTAGAGCTATGTCGTGATTCCGGGAGTTGTAAAAAGACTCTTTATTTGGTAAGGTTTTACTTTTTCTCGCACGTTTTACAGTTGTTTATTTGTAATAATCGCGGGGGTCTCTTGGTTGCAAATTGGGGCCTGAATGTGATCTCCGTTACTCCGATCGCTATCCTGGATCTCAGAAATTCCATTGTCCATCGTAGGATTTGCTGCAGGCGGGAAAATCACCCGAGGGACGCGGCTACAAAGATTCCTGCGTGGAGTAATTGACCTCTGTGATTCTTTCTCACACCCACGAAGCTGCTTGTAGAAGTGAGGCCCCTGGTCCTGGAGGGGTCGAGCCATGAAGCAGACTAAAAAGTCTAATGTAAATGAACGCACTAAAAATGATCTTACTTTCTTTCTAATGCATTCCGAGCCCCAAACACAAATGCATAATAAGCACTTGCTATTTGGCCCAGAGAAAATCTTAAAATCAATTACGGTATTTAATTGTAGGCTCCTAAGGTATTGGATTCAAATCAGGCAGGGTTTTTCATTTTAAAATTTCAGCTTTAAAATAGTACGCCTTTCTACCTTTTGAAAATCTGAATGGGGCAATAGAAGCACTAGCTATAATGTAGAGGCAAATCAAAAGAGGCAAGATTTTAACGGGGAGATCTCTCTGGAAAAACTGGGTCTGCTTCTTTACGATAAAATATCACTTATTACAACCCACATACTGCATAATTTACTCCTAGTAAGAAGTTCAAGAAGAAGTGGTGCTTCTCGCTAAATATAGATCTCGTGGGTCGTAGGTCTATTATGATAAAAAAAAAAATGTAAAACTCTGCAGAATCCTCAGAAACAAGAAAGCACTGACATTTCTGGACTTTAAATTTTACTTATAATGAAAATGAGCCTGTTGCCTTTTCCGAATAAGTCTATGTTTTGTACTGTAGGATTAGGTTTGCCTCATTTTTTTTCATCATTCCCTCCAGAAGAGCCCTTTTAAGCAAATAAATAAATAAATAAAATTTAAAAATGCTAAGGTCCTGATCAAGTTTAAACACCAGTAATTGTAATAATCTTGCTCCCACATAAATAGGCTGGGATCTTCAGCATGAACAAGAGTAGAAGAGTTGCTGGAAAAATCATTTTTCTTTCTTAACCCTTTTGGGATCATGCCCCGATGTATCAGAGAGCTCATTTTAAGGAGGTGGCTGCCAAGAATATGCCCAGAGAAAAGGGAGGGTGGAAGATGAGACAGCAGGCTGGACTACTTGGCACAGTGGGAGCAAAAAGCTTGGGTTATGCAGCCTGTCCATTCTTCTGAAGCTGCCTGAATGAGAGAATGTAAAGGAGGGTTGCCATCAGCCGGTAGAATAGGATGCTTTTGATGGAGGCAGTGTTTTACTTTTGGACCATGACATATTTCAGGAGCTAAGGTGGCCTTTGGACAGCCTTGTGTTGGTAAGTAACCAGGCTGTAATTTTTATTTTGAGGAATGAGCTACCAAATGCATTAAAGATATACCCGACCAGCTTTCTTCCTATGTTTTTCTTTGATGGATATACTACTGAGCTGCCGGAGAAATTGGCAGAATTAGGAAGAGACAACCTCCTGTGAGGTCATTTCCCAGCTTTCTGATGGAAGCCAGTTTGTTGGGTGATAACTTTTGTACCTTCTTATCCAGTTTTCTTCTTTCCCCTGCAACTGTGCTTTATAATTATGAATTCCTCTGGGCCATACCAAAGATACTGGCAAAAATATAGAACTGCAGTGAGGTTATTCTATGAGCGTTGAAATATTTTTGTTTCACCACACAATATATGGTGGAATAAATTAATGAAAATATAAAACATATATTTTCTCTTTAGTCATTTTCTTGTTCCTGCACACTATTTTTGTAATGTGCGCATGCACCCATGAATGGGAGAATGATCTAGAGCAATGGGCTGGCTGGATGAATCCAAATTGGCTCCTTAGAGCTCAGCAGTGACCATGCCAATTATAAATTCTTCCCTGGTGTGGCTACCAATAAATGATCCAAAATTGGGTTACACCAACTAGTATAAATGCTGTCAATGATCTTCAGTTGTAGTTTGTTTCTGAACTGAGCAAAACAATCCGGTCTGGGTTTTTAAGAGAGAAAACAGTGTGACTCACTAGCAAATTGGAGAAGGGTGGGAGAGGACTATGAATCCTATAAACTCATGATATATATGCATGGCAAAACACTTGAAGACACCCCCTCAAAAAATAAATACTATTGAAATGGGGAAAGTACAGATAATTGTTATTGTGCAGATCAAGGGTCACCTGGGTAGATATCCTCCAAAGCAGACTGAAGAAAGAATACACACCATCTTGAATGGCTTAGACAGTGATAAAAGTTTTGCTATTCAGTTGAATTGGTGCCAAAGCAGGACAAAAGGCTTCTAATTCATTGGAAAGGCGGGCAGCCATGACGGGCAAGCAAATGATTTCATGCATATCATTTACTCAGCAGCTGGCTCCTTGCATTCTGTGGAAGTGAAAGAACAGGAAGCTTGACATTTATGTGTAATCCCTATATCATGCCAATCTGCATGATGGGCCTGCTGGGGTAACAGGTTATAAGCTGAACTTTCATAAAAAAAAGAAGAACCCAACACTGCTCATATCAAACATGAAGCATTTTAGAGCAGATGTGGGCAGCTCTCTTGGCATCCACCTTATCCATCTAACGATTTGTTTATATCCTACTTAACTTAAAACAATAAATGGAAATTGAGATGGTGCAAAGAAAAGTGCCAGTATCTAGCTGCAGCTGTAGTTGCCTAAAAGCTGTTTAAAACAAAATGGTGGGTGGCACCATTGAGGGAGGTGCACACGGTTAAAAAAAAGATTTTCTGTATTGCTGCTACTGTTGAGTTGCTCCTGGACATCCTTGAGTCAGGAGAAAACTATTCAGACTGCCCCTGGCAATGTCATAATAAGCCGAAAAGTACTAATTTAACCAAGTACAGCTAAAGGTGACTTAAGACTGTCTCATCCATGGGTTGGGAATAAGATAAAGGCAGCGTCATGGAACATTGCAGAAAAACCAGTACCAGAGTATTCTGGATCTTTGGTTAAGTGAAACCACCAATCAAGTGTAGGCTCAAACTCCAAAGAAATCCCTATCCAGTATGGTGGCTGGGGAATTCTGGGAGTGGAAATCCACTCATCTTAAAATAGCTAAGGTTGAGAAACATTGACGGAGAGGTTTGCTCAGAAAAAACCAAGGAGGTGATAATAGCAGAATAAACCAATGGATAGCTAGGAAAATAAAGAAGTGGAGATGATTCACTGAACAGGAATATACCTGTTTCACCTGGTCCGTTTGTCTTTCTGTTCCCCAAACATCTTGGCAGACCAAAATTTGTGCAGAGACAATTCATTCTCCCCAAGTCTTTCTTCCTGTGAGAACTAGTGAGGTGGGGGGGTGGGATTGTTTTCCTTCTCCATGAAGCATGTTCCAATATCTAACAGGTTGCACAAAGAATGGGGCGGGGTGTCAATCTATTCTCCAAAGCATTTGAAGGCAGGATAAGAAGCAATGGATGGAAACTGATCAAGGAGAGAAGCACCTAGAACTAAGGAGAAATTTCCTAACAGTTAGAACAATTGATCAGTGGAACAACTTGCCTCCAGAAGTTGTGAATGCTCCAACACTGGAAGTTTCTGAGAAGAGATTGGACAACCATTTGCCTGAAATGATATAGGGGTCCTACCTGAGCAGGGGGTTGGACTAATAGACCTCCAGGGTCTCTTCCAACTCTGTTATTCTGTTAAGAATGGGATGCTTTCCTTGCTTCCAGAGATGAGCACGATTGTTCTCCCAGCCATCTTCTGGATGTGAAAAGACATTCCATATAGAGAAGGGGTGTTCAGCCTTGGCAACTTTTAAGACTTGTAGACTTCAACTCCCAGCATTCCCCAGCAAGTACTGGGGAATTCCTGTTTGGCTCATTCTTTACTGGATGCTTTCCTTCATACAAGAGGACTGGGAGAGCCATCAACTCCAGGAAAGAAAGAAAGTTCCAGAGTTTTGCTGCTGCCTGATTTGTTCAGCAAGGATGACAAAGGTTGCCTAGCTGAGGCCCAATATGTTAAAAGTTTAGAATATCAAGAACTAGTAGCTCAGGCTTCAGGATTTTCTGAAAATCTTAAAACAGCAGCTGTTAGGTAAGCTAAATTTGCTTTTCTTCTGTTGCCACACCCTTAGTTCCCCAAAGCCGTGACTCTCTCTAGCTTTGTTTACCCTTGTGTACTTTGGGATCAGGAAAACATTAAGGCTCTACAAAGCACTGAAAGCTGCTACTTCACAACAATCTTTGTCCTGAAGCTGTTACTTAGCAGGAGCTGGCTTCCAATTTTTGCAACGGGGAGGTGAGAATACATAACAAAGCTTGAGGATTTGTGTTTCAGAAGTTTGAGTTCCTTCAGAAGTTTGGATTCTGTCTCTATCCGGTTGGAACAAAGACGTCTGATAGTCCATGTTCAACCTCTGGGGTGGACCATCCTTGTCCCTGTATCAGAAGATAAAAATATGTGACGTAAAATGGGTCAAGACTGGTTTGCTGCTGTCTTTTTCTTGCCATTTTAATGAAGTTTTATTTTGCCCCACCCTGCATGACAAGGTGGTCCTAAGAGGTCCTAAGATCTCCCAAAAGCCAGATATCTCAACAGCCAGAGTATGGGACCTTTCCTAAATGGAATGATAAATAATGTGGGCGAGTTCAGACTGAGAAGCAGAAGTGGGTTTTTTTTTCTCCCAGTCAAGAGTTGTCTTGGTCAAGATAATTACTTAATCCCCGAGAATAGTGTATGTACTGACCTTATGCTGAAACCACAAGTTTATAATTTCTAAAAGCAAAGATTGCCATAAATTTCTTTGCTATCAGTATAGCAAAGTACTAGCATCTTCTAAAGAAAAACAAAATATCTTCCTGAATACAGTAAAAGCATATCACAACTCTTGCGGAGCTAAGCGTCAGGGAACAAACCAGACAGTTTCCTGGTGTTGAACCCCGACAGGATGCTTTGTTTTGCAACAACCTCACTTCCTTTCTTCATTCTTCTCATGCTCTATTGAGAGTTTTAGCCCCTTGAACCTGCACAGCCAGTGGTAGAAACAAACTTCCTGTCAAGGCAGGAAGCTTGGTTGCTTCATTTGCTGGTGTTCACTCACATTCTTCTCTCAGGAATGCAGGAACTGGGCTTTACTAACCCTTGGAAGCCAAGCCCATCCTGGAGTATTGAAATGCAGAGTTACTTATCTCCCTTAGTGATATAGCTGGGCTGCTTGACAAGGATTGAGATAGTCAAGAGAAACTTTATGTTAAGTCTTCTGCTAGTGAAACTCAGAGATGCACCTGCAGGTAAGTGCAAGGGAGCTTCCGCTTTCTTTTGCAGAAAGTCAGAGAAGTACGAAGTTTGAGGGCCAGCAGCTATGTTTGCATTGTCTGAAATGCAGGCATCCAGCCTGAATTGCAGCTTTTGTCTCGACCTTGTTTTCCTTCCTTTTTGTGTGATTTGCTCACAGTGGACCAGGCAGCTCTTGAGATACACACTTTCTAAATCTTGTAGGAGGAGGAGGCAGGAGAACCCAATACAGCTCTGTGTGTCTGAAGTTGTGTTCTTTATAGGCTTGAACATTGTGGCCTGCTGTTTTTTGATCTTGAGAGGGAATAAGAAGACATCAGATATTAGACCACAGTCTGAACAATTTGTTAGAAGATGTAGAGCCTGAAGCGTCTCAATGGAACCAGCTTCATGTGATATTGATTCTTTCCGTAACCTGCATTTGGAAATGTGGTGGAACTGAAAAGTGCAGAGACCAGAAAATTACTTGTGGAGTTAAAAAATGTCCCACACTGTGACTTTCACCTTTCAGGACCTTGAGAATGGAGACCCTGCCAGGTGAGTGTGGTTCTTTTTTAAATAAGCACATTTTTAAAAAGTATATAGGAACTGTATTCATTCCTGCCTTAGAAAAAGAAAGCCTGTCATCAGATGGTTAGAGTCCTTCCAAATTATGTACAAAGCTGAAAATTAGCACGTATTGATTTCAAAGCAAAACTCCCTTTTCAAAAGCCTGAAAATAAGACTTTTGTTTTTCTATATTGAATTATCAGAATACTACAATTAGAATTCTCGTTATCATAAAGCATGTGGAGGAATGTTGGTATGCAGGAGTTCTGTTGCCTGTTTATGAAAGCTGGGGAGAGGAGTTTCCAGGAACAAATACAAATCATTATCAACATTGAAAAAAAGGTTGAAGGGCTATTTATATGCACTGATGATGTTACCTAGTTTGGTAATAAAATGTTTGCAAGAAAATCACCAAGCTCAGAGAGCACCAGGGTCCCCAAAGTTCAACCCTGAGCTACAAAAATTCTCTACTATTGGGATTATTTATAATCTCCAATGTAGATCCTTGGGAATGAGTGGGTAGTGCATTAATTGCCCTACCATGATTTCAGTTATTCTCAGAATAGTCTACAGCGTTAGGAAAATATTAGTCACTGCTTCTAAATGTTTTGAATATCGCTGCCTTAAATCTGACTTTAAGACATATGAAACATGTTTTGTCCATTATTGAACCATATGGTAGTAAGATCCACAAATTATTATTAATAGAATTTTAGCCACAGAGATCAAAAGTACAGGATTTATATATTACAAATCCTGTAAGAGACAGGAATTGATACATTTTACCTCAATATTTGATTGTTGGATAATCATTATTTCCCTGGACTTAGGACAGAATATACCAGAACAGAATACAGGTATGTAATAAGAATTTACAGAATTCAGATGGAAATATGTTGACATTTTAATTAAATTAGAAATAAAAATGGAACAATAAAATGCAATTACTAGAGCGCTAAAAGATATGATGCTGAGATTAATCTCTACCTTACAAAACTACTTTCCAATGTGTAATAATCCAGACTTAGTTATTTGTTTGTAGTTTATTGTTTAAACATATAAGGCTTTGGTTTCACTCTCATTATGTAGATCTCCTGGGTGCCCATTAGCAGATGCTTACATAAGCTCTGAAGGCCCTGAGGGGAGGTTTTTGTAAATCGTATTTGATGACATGGTTAGTTATTCTCCATCCCTCTTATGCATTGTTTGTGTCTTAGACTCTGTCGTGATTTGCTATAAGAACTGTAATGTTCTAATATGTTTTGCCTTCTGCCGTTTAGTCACTACATATTCCCAACTACTAACTAAATCCCATGTGAAGTTGGTGAGATGTTAGAGGCTGTTGTTTTAGGGAACCTGTTAATGAAACAGTTGGGCAGACCGTTTATCTCTTCCCCACAGCCAAGACCTAAGTCCGTATGATGAAGGGGCCGTGCATGATTCCTTCCACCAGCTAATTAAGGAGCAGAGCAGTTTGGCTGAGCAGGAGTTGGTGGAGATGCAAGATCTGACTAAGAGGAGCAAAGGTGAGACAAACCATGTCTATATAGCACAGAGACTTCCTGATAATTATCAGGAATATTCAATTTGTAGGTAAATAGTTGGGGTAGAGGAGAAAGTTGTGTAACTTTTAAGTGGTATTTCCTGATTTTTCTTCAGAAAACAATGTGAAAAGGCTGTGCAGTCTGATGTTACAGCTTTTAACAAAATGTGGATGAAGAGAAAGCAATTTCTTTCTTTTCAATCATTGTATCTCTGTATAGCCAGCACTTACAGCTAAACAAAAATCCTTGGCTTCTTAACTACGTTTAACAACTCTGTTCACAGTAAAAAGTAGGATGGAAAACAAACGCATGATCTCACTTTATCCCCACAACCATCCTGTCTGAAAGATTGGCTTCAGAGACAGTGAGAGCTCCCCAATACGTTTATAGCCAACATGGATTTTAATTTGAAGTAATAATACTGACCTCTGTCACAAGATTAACATGATACTAAATAAGATAACTGAAACAGCATTGCAGACAGCCTAGAGAGCGATAGGTCAGATCAAAATAAGAGAATTAACCAAGGTATGGGATCCATGAGTGAGCAAGAACCAAGGCTATAGGGGGAACCCCTCCACCCAGGATGAACTCAGCCAATACAGAAAACACTGTTTCTCTTCTCTCAGTGAGCCACTGGGTCCTAAAGGACAGGGAACTGTCCTTTAGGACCCAGTGGCTCACTGAGAGAGCTGGGTCAAGCTAGGGCATGAATACATTTTACTGAGAATATTTTTGCAGGGTAGCATTAAAGGATTATTTGCCAGTGGAGGCGGTTGACATGCAATATTATGGCACAAAATCCTTGATGGAAGAGACAGAATTATAGAAAGTCCTTGTTTAGAAACGGCCTCATTTAGTGACAATTTGCAATTACAATGGTGATGAGAAATATAGAATAACAGAGTTGGAAGGGACCAATCCTTTACTCCAGCAGAAGACCCTATGCCATTCCAGAATGGCTTCTTAAAAACTTCCATTGACCCACAACTTCTGGAGGCAATCTGTTCCACTTGCTGAAGACCCCATATTTTGTCCATATCTTCTTGAAATTACCGAGGCATCTTCCTGCCATGATCAGCAGACTATGCGGAAGAGGCAGGGGTGGGATTCTACTTGTTTGGCCTGGTTTGGGCAAACCAGTAGCTCTGAAGATCAGCTGGGAGCGTTCGCTCCGAAAATCAAGGTATTTCTTTCCCCCTCCCCACCAATTAGCAGTTTTCCAAAGATCATCTGTGTTGTGCGATTTAAATTAGCTAGAAAGCAGGAAATTGTTGGATTTCTTGCTTTCTAGCTAATCTAAATTGTGCGCCACAGCTGATTCCCGCCCCCATCTCACTGTTGTACTGCTTCTCCCAGGAGGCTTCCCTGAGGCCCAGGAGGCAAAAAAAACCAAAACCACCCACCCAGTCACATGATCACCTGGCCACGCCTATAGAACTGGAAGTTAAAATATTTGCATCCCACCCCTGGTTCACTTCATGAGGCAGCTGCATTCAAATACCTAAAGCAGAACTTAAATGATTCATACGTCCATTAGGAAAGTGAATGTTAGGATAGTATTTGCCTCCCAATCAAAAGTTAAGAATATTATTTTCCTCCCCTTCAAAACAACTCATTTGTGTGATTCATATAAAGTGAGCCGTGGTGGGGCAGTGGTTAAAGTGCAGTACTGCAGGTTAGCTCTGCCCACAAGCAGGAGTTTGATCCTGACGGGGCTCAAGGTTGACTTAGCCTTCCATCTTTCTGAGGTCGGTCAAATGAGACTCAGATTGTTGGGGACAATATGCTGACATTGTAAACTGCCCAGAGAGTGCTGTAAAGCATGATGAAGTGGTATATGAGTAAGTGCTTGCCAAGAATTTTACCTCATTGCTCTAGAGCTGATTTTGAGTATTTCATTGTTATATTATTTGTGAAGCTTGGATTTGGAGTTTTTTTTTTGTTTTTTTCTGAAAACACAGAAACTGCCTGTACACAACTGTATTGGCACAGGATCTCTGCCCTGTATAAACAACAGGGAGTGATTCAGTCCACCTGGTAATCTATCATGTTATAAATATTTGCTGTAGGAAACAGTAAAATAAATTTAGAATGACTGTCTAAGTTGTTAGGGAAAAACATGCTCATTTGGGGAATGGCCACAACAGAAAGAAGAAGGGAAGATGTGGAGATTCCAGTTTTGATAGGACAATTCATAGCAACTTGGCAATGTAGAGAGGCTGTATCTGGGCCATTTCTTTTTCTCCAGAAAATCTGGTTCATTCCTCAGATCCGACTGGAACTTGGAACCCAAATGCACAGCTGGTTGAGCACCCTGACTTCTCTTCCACCACACTGCGCATCCTTGCGAATATGCCCAGCCGGACTATTGGTGAGTTGTGATGCTCCCCTGTGGCCCCAGTCCACTTCTTTCTATGAAGAAGAATTTCCAGACAGGCCATGTGAAATGTGGGAATTAGCATAGAGGACGATTCCTTTTTCCCCTTCCGTGGTGATAGTCTTTCTTCCCTTTCATTTGCAGGACGCAGCAGAGGAGCCATCCTGTCCCAGTATTGCAACCGCACTGCCAGACGACGGCGTCGGAGCAGCCGTGCTCCCCTCCAGGAAGTATCCCGTTCTGCACGGCCTAGTTTTCGACAGATATCTCTAGAGTTGGATTCCAGTTACAGAGAAGAAGACCGTAAGTTGACTAAAAGGGTAGGAAGAGGCCTGCTAAGCAGAAAAGTAGTGCAAGAAAAATAGAAGTGTATATTTAAGTTATTGTGCAGTTATTATGAGTAGCAATAACAATAGCACTTAGATTTATATATTACTTCACAGTGCTTTAAAGCAATCTCTAAGCAGTTTTCAGAGTCAGCATACCTTACCTCATTTTACCAACCTCGAAGGGATGGAAAGCTGAGTTAACCTTGAGCCAGTCAGGATCGAACTTCTGGCAGTTGGCAGAATTAGCCTGCAATACTGCATTCTAACCACTGCATCCCACAGCTCTTCTTTATCATAGAGAAATCATCTTGATCGTTCTCAGTATATAATCCAGCCATCGAGGCATTGTAATCGCTCAGTGTTTCTCACAAAATAGTGATGAATAGAATAGAATAGAATAGAATAGAATAGAATAGAATAGAATAGAATATAGAATTCCTTATTGGCCAAGTGTGATTGGACACACAAGGAATTTGTCTTGGTGCAAATGCTTTCAGTGTACGTAAAAGAAAAGAATATTTACAATATTTAATAAAATATAAAATAAAATATTTAATAGTTACAACATGTCCTGCTCGGTGGAGCAGCTGGTCATCTTTGACTGATTTTACCAAACCCAAGGAGGTACTTAGATGAGAAAACGCTAGAGAGCGAAGTTAGGAAGTATTCAGGGAGAGGAAAACTAGGAATGTATTCATGAAGTCCTGAAGAGTCAAGTTTGATTTGGTGGAGGCCATGATAACATTGCTCAGTTAGAGATGGAACAATAAAGACTTCCAAAAGACCTGAGACTGAGAGTACCCTTGCTCCTTTATTTAACCTGCAGAGACGACTGTGTCAGGGTTCTTTTCTTGGTCAGCTTTGCCATGAAAGGCCACAATATGTTTGCTTTTAATAGAGAAAGTCCATTTCTTTTTTCACTTTCCAGTACCTTTAAAAGAAAAAAGGTGATCCTAATCAAAAGTGGGGGACGTGGTGGCTAAGACGCTGAGCAGTTTGGCGGTTCAAATCCCTAGCACTGCATAATGGAGTGAACTCCTGTTACTTGTCCCAGCTTCTGCCAACCTAGCAGTTCGAAAGCATGTAAAAATGCAAGTAGAAAAATAGGGACCACTTTGGTGAGAAGGCAACAGTGTTCCGTGTGCCTTTGGCATTTAGTCATGCCGGCCACATGTCCACGGAGACGTCTTTGGACAGTGCTGGCTCTTCGGCTTTGTAATGGAGATGAGCATCGCCCCCTAGAGCCGGAAATCACTAGCATGTATGTGCAAGGGGAACCTTTACCTTTACCTTTAATCAAAAGTGGAGGAAGGAAAGCATCCTTTTTCTTTTCTGTAATCCAAATGTTTGCACTGGAGATGCAGCTGGGCTGCTTGACTTCTGACCTCACCTCTGCACTTCTTCCATAGCCAAGTATATTTTGCTGGTCAAAGAACTCCAGAACCTGCCAGTACATCAACGCAATCACATGCTGCAGATGATGCCGCTAAGCTTGGCTGAGAAGCGCAGACTCAGGTGAGTGTCTTTAATCCTTGTTAGTCTTCTGGCCCTAAGCTGCTTTTGGAGAATAGAATCTACCTCACTGCTCTCCCTCCCCAAAACAACTTTTGCTATGTTTTAAGTTCACTTCTCCTCCTCCCTCTCCTCCCCTCCTCCCCCCCCCACCTCTCTTACAGACAGGATTCAAGTGGGCATTCAGGCACCTTGAGGAAACCCAAGCCAACGGGTCGCTTGTCTTACTGCAGCTGGATTAAATACCACATCCTCATAGTAAGCCATGTACCCCACTTGACTTTTATTGTGGCAGGTGAGAAATAAGTAGACTCGGAGGAGACTACTATGAGAAAGGAAACTTACTGGAGTCTTTCTGTGAAATGTGTGACTCTTCAGAGAGTTGGGGAAAGTACCCTGGAAGGTCTTTTTGTCAACTCTTGATATACTTATCAAGAAGGCATTAGCAAGTTTGAGGAGGATCTTTCTAGGTCACCGCATTGAATATGAGGCAGGGGGGTTGCGTTTTGCCAAATTCTGGTGAACAGGATGGGAAAAGTGGCTTTTGGTTCAAACGGGCTCAGAAAAATAGACTAGAGCTTTTGGGAAAATAGGAAAAGGGGCTGCTGTGGTCTTCTTGCCAAGAAATATAACTTGCCAGGCAAATAAAAATAATTCCTACTTGGAGGCATGGGATGTTTCTTCACTCCAGTGGATGCAAATCCTTCTGTTCAGCAACAATTTTTATAGCACGAAAAGGAGGCGAAGAAGAAGTATGGCACTCCTTTTACAATCTGAATTCCTGGAAGACTTCTCTTTCCACATATTTTAATGTTTTTTGCTAATAGTGTTCTGGGCTTGAAAAAGAGTCAATTAGCACACTTTTCCATTGTGCTAAATGTTGTTTCAGACATTTAATTTTTTGCGATGCTCCCTCCAAGAAGGTAATTGCAATCCCTATTTCTGCACAATAAGACTTGAGAGAGTTTCTCATAATGACGTCTGGGGTGACATGTTTCTGATACATGTTGGACTATACCAGGGGTGTCCAACCTTGGCAACTTTAAGACTTGTGGACTTCAACTC